TGTGGCTTGCAGTGTGGCCCCTCCCCTTCCGTTGATTCAAGTCAGAGTGCGGGGTGATGGGGGTGGGGCAACAGGAGTGACTGGGGTGGGGTGGGGACCCAGCAGCAGGGGTTCCAGGCTTCTGAGTTCATAACACCCAGATTCCTCAAGGAGCTCACTCAGCAGCCATGTCCTGGGGGACCCTCTGCAGCAAACCTGGACAGGAGGCAAAGAAAGTGGCCACATGGGCTGCAACCAGAAATGGAAGTAACTCTGGCCAAACAGGTTGTGGGGTTTCCCCGCACCCCTCCCCCTGCACCCCATGTTCATGCCTCTTGCCTATGACCTAGGAATCCTTTCTACTCCTCTCTGGCTGCAGCAATCCATCTTCCTGCCCCCTCCCTGGCCCCATCTCCTCTCTCTCCCTAACTGCAGCTCCTCCTTCAGACTCCTTATATTAGTCAGGGTTCTCTAGAGAAACAGAGGTTAGAGAAGGAATCTTTATATATAAAGGAGATTTATTGGAAATGTATAAATAAATCTCTGTATAAAGGAGATTTATTGGAAAAGATTTATTCCAACGATGGCTGACTGTGAATGCTAAGTCTTAGAACCCAGTCTAAAAATCCTGATTGATCTCTAATAAAGAGCTTGTAGAACAGAGACCCTGTCTTTCCCCATAGACTACCTGAGTTTCCAATGCCCCCTCTCCCTTACCTAACACAGGCTGCTGCTACATTTAGCACAGCAGGTTAGGGTGAGGATCCAGGTAGCCACCTAGAGACACTCAAATTCCTGTCTTCTAAGCACAGTGCCTGCCCCTCAATCTGAGGCAGTGAGTTTGAGGTTTAATGCAACCTCCAGAACAACAGCAAACACCTTCTCTGTGCTTAGTTGTTGTTCTTACTCTTTGGCTCTTTGGGGGACCTGCCTTGCAGCTCCCAAACAAATCCCATGGAAACTTATTTTTATGTGTGAATGCCAACCTTAGCTTGGCTTATTTCTAGCTAGCTTTACTTAACTTAAATAATCTCCTCTACTTTAGCCTCTGGGCTTTTACGTTTCTCTACTTTTTTACTTTTGGGTGACTGGATCCTTGAGTCCTCCTCTCCTCCTTTTCTCGTTGTGTGATCTTTTCTTCCCAGATTTTTCTTCATATTTATTCTTTCTGCCTGTCAACCCCGTCTTTTTCTCTCTCCTGCCCTACTAGTGGCCATTCAGCTCTTCATTAGACCAATTAGATGTTTTAGACAGGTAAAGTAACTCAGCATTGCAGAGTTAAACAAATGCAACATAAAAAAGCAACACATCTTTAATGCATCATTAAGCAAATATTCCACAACAGGCAGCCAAGTCACGTGTCAAGAAACATTCATGTTAGGAGCTTCAGGTCTGCGTGTTCTCACTTTGTTTATTTCCCATGTATTCCAGGCAGAGAGAGATAGAGATAGTTAAGCAGACCCATCTGAACTGTAACTATGATGGTTTAAATAGGTATGGCTTGGATAAACTCATGTGTTTGAAAGTTTGGCTCATAGGGAATAGCACTATTATGAGTGCTCCTTGTTGGAGAAGCTATGTCCTTGTTGGAAGAAGTGTGTCACCATGGAAGTGGGTTTTTGAGTTCTTAGAAGTTCAAGTTGGGTAGATATGATTCAATTTCCTCCTGCTGCCTGTGGATCAAGAGATAGAAATCTCAGTTCTTCTCCAACACCATGTATGTTGTGTCATGTCAAGATGATAATGGACTAAACCTCTGAAACTGTAGGCCCACCCATTAAATGTTTTCTTTGATAAGAGATGCTATGCTCATGGTGTCTCCTCACAGCAATAAAAGCCCTAAGACAGTCCCAATGTTGGTTCAGCTACTGAGCAGAAGTCTTTGTCTGCTGTCAAAGAGAACCCCAACTGCATATGGATTTGTATGGTTCCTGGAAGGTAGATAAAGTCACACAAGACAGGCTTTCAGACTAGAGAGCATCAGGCGTGAAAAGAAGACTCTTCCCTGAATCCTCCTAATATTTTAACCATGCTTACAGCAATGGTCCTCTTGAAACTGCCATGCTTCTCTGGACACACATGGCTTTGGAGCTGGTCTGACAAGTAATGGATAAACCACAGAGAACTGTTTAGAAGAGCTGGGATCTGTGCGATGTGATCTGATATTTGCTTCTCTCTTTCTGTTCTGCTTTATTTCTTGCTTAATTTACCTAAACAATTCCTTATGAGTTGGGTCCCCTCACAGATGAGGCCATGTGCCTGCCCAATCCTCTTCCCTCTGACTCTTTATCTACCTGGATTGGAGGCTTCCTGCATTCTAGCCCAGGGTCAGGTGTCACCTGAACAGTGAAATGTTACACTGTGCCATAGACCCTGGGTCAACAGAGCAAGCTTAGTGTCCGTTCACAAGTCTCTGGCAGGGTTGATGAATTTTATTTACATTACCAAGTGATTTAACTTGATTAACAAAAATTTGTGTATTTCTGATAACTTTGCCAAAGGCCTGTTTATTCATTGGACTTCTTTACCAAATGGAATCCTGCCATAAACATGTTATGTCAGAAATATAGGTGGATATGTTTGAATCTTTCTACAATATCGGTATTTATTGCCACATAAAAATTCAAAATCGTATATCAGATATAATTTGCCAAGGAATTCCAATTATTTTTTGATAGGTGGCCACTGGCCAGTATACATTCTTTTATTCCAGCATTAATTACTAATTTCAACTTTCAGATCTTATATTACATATCACACAGTATATACATATCTTATATACTGTATGTATATATACATATACTGTGTACTATATAGTATATGTGTACAATACATATATATGTATATATGTGTGTGTACATGAACTTGCATATATGTGATATATTTGTGTAGGTTATGGAATGCCGTGGGACAATGGTTTTACCCTATAAAGATTTGTTTCTTTTGCTTGCTTAATAAAATGCTGATTGGCCAGTAGCCAGGCAGGAAGTACAAGTGGGGCGATCAGGTAGGAAGTAGAGACAGGACTATGAGAATTCTGGGAAAAGGGAAGTTTCAGTCTGTAGTCGTCACCCAGACAGAAAGGAAGCCTGACGCAGGGCAAGCAAGATGTGACTGCCTCACTGAAAAAGGTACCAAGCCACATGGCTAACACAGACAAGAATTATGGGCAAATGTAATAAGAAGCCAATCAGTTTATATTTAATGGAGACCTCTGTGTGTTTTCTTTGGGACTGAACAACTGCAGGGCTGTGTGGGACAGAAACCTCTGTCAACAATAAAAAGGCTAAAGAAGACATACATACATGTGTGTGATATGTGTATTCATGTATGTGATGTGTGTATGTGTGTGCATGTATGTGTGTAGGTTATAGAATGACTGAATAAGATATATTTATTATGTGTGTATGTGTGTGATGTGTGTATATGTATGTGATGTGTGTGTTTGTGTGTATCCATGTGTGTGATGTGTATGTATTGTGTATGTGTGTGCACGTATGTGATGTGTGTGTGTGTAGTTTATGGAATGGCTGGAGATATATACACATATACATATATATTTATATATGTATATGTGTATATATAGGAGATATATACACATATACATATATATTCATATATTCATATATGTATATGTGTATATATAGGAGATATATACACATATACATATATATTCATATATGTATATGTGTATATATATATCATGTGTGTGCATGTATGTGATGTGTGTGTCCATGTACGTGATGTATGTATGTAGGTCATGAAATGGTCATAGAAGCTTCACTCAGCACAGAGGTAGAGATTGGTTCAGATGCAGTTGTCCAGATAAGACATTAAGGAGCCAGCTGGAGAGCCACAGACTAACAGGGCTTATCCAGGTTCAGGGTTCAATGGAGCTGCAGGGGGTGAAGTCAGGACCATGGGATGGGGAGAGGAGGGACACAGTTAGGATGACCAGATTACATGGGTAGGAACAGAAGCATGTGACAGCTGAAGCACAGGGGACAATCTATTCTCTGCTTGTTGGTCTCTTGATACATGCATGGGAATCTGTGGTGAGATTGGTGGTAGGTATCACCACGATAGTGTCAGGTGTTCTCCTCTTTGTGGGTCCAGGAGAGGTGTTGTTCTTCCTTCAGTTTGGGATATTTGAAAATATATCAGGCCTGATTATTCGGATGTTGTCTTATTTAGAGTTTCTATTGCTGTGATGAGACACCTGATGAAAAGCGTGTTGCAGAGGAAAGCGTTTGTTTAGTTTGCACTTTAATATTATAGTCCATCAGTGAAGGAAACTACAATAGAAAAAAAGAGGGCAGAAACCTGGAGGCAGGGTTGCTGCACAAGCCATGGAAGAGTGCAGCTTACTGACTTGCTCCTCAAGACATGTTCTGTAGCTTTCTTATAGAGCCCAGGGCCACCCACCCAGGGATGGGTCCAACAATGCGCTGGGCCCTCCACCATCAACCACAATTTAAGAAAGCACCCTACAGCTGGATCATATAGACACATTTTCTCAACTGAGTTTCCCTTCCTTCAAATAACTCTAGCTTATGTCAAGTTGGCATAAAACTATCCAAAACAGATATGGTTTTTATATGTCATCACTCTCAAGTGCCTAATTGATTTTGATATGTCTATCAGTGATGTCTTTTTCACTTTTAGGAATAAGGTATTTATCTGCCTTTTCTTGTAGGTGGTGCCAGACAGAAGCCTTGTCTATCTGCACTGGAGATGCCCAGGCATCAACTTGTTGCTTATTAATGAAGCCACCTTGAGCAAGACCCAGTCTGAAAGCCATCATTTTACACAATAAGGAGTATCCTAGAGCAGGGTACAGCCTGATCTCCCCAAGGTCATAGTCTAAGAATGAGAAATGAAACAGTAACAAAGGAAGATGGAGTTGCTGGTGACAATGACCTGTTCCATCTTAATGAGGTGATAGAGGAGTCATGGAGACAGTCAACTTTAATATTTCACACCATGTTTATTCAGAAGTGAAATGGCAGATTAACAACACCATCAGAAGGTTTTGTTTTCTGGCTGTGATGTAGAGAGATAGGGACTATTCCAGAGATGTACCAGAGGCAGCTGTTGACAATGACTGCAGATCAGATTACAGAAGAAGCTGAGGAGCAGCATGGAGAATCACCTAGTGACAAAAAGAGGATATTAATTACAGTGGGCTCCTGCACATCTGCATCCTACTCTACTCCATCTCAGGAGGACTCTTCTCCCCGCTTCACAGACTGTGCAGCTCAGCTTCCCAGGGGATTTTTTTCTTTTTCATTTGGATGTATTTATTTCAAACCTTTCTGCCATTTTGTCTTTCAAATGAAAATGACATTTTGAAATATTTTTAAAAAGAGACTGAATAAAACCAAAACAAGTAGGAGGTCAGGCAGATATCTATATTTTTGGTTCTCCAGGCCTTTTACTTTACTTTTAATGTGCTTTTGTGGTTCTTTTGAGACTAGGTTTTATTTGTGGCCCGAGCTTGCTTGGAACTTCCTGTGTACCACAGACTCTTGCTTACCTTAGCTTCTCAAGGCCTGTTCTGACAAGTATGTGCAACCATACCCCAAGTTCACAGTTCATAAAAATGTTATCTTCAATACTTACCTTCCATAGGACACATCACGTTCATGCAGATGGTTTCCTCAGGGTGAGGCTCACCCACTGCACTTGGGGTGTGCTGACCCCTGAGAGTTCTACGAATGTAGGAGACTTGGCGGCATAATCATAGAGGAGCAAATAAAAAAAAAAATGATCTTAAAATAATTACACCTACTCAAAAACGAAAAAAGCAAAATAAAACATAGACCTTTGTATTAATTGATATTAAATGTAAATCTTTCACACTAAGCATGTTTATTGGAAATACTTTGAAATAATAAATGAAAATCAGAGCTTTACCCATCTTCACCATACTTCTCTGTGCTTGCTCTAGACTGCATATGGCAAAATCTAACCGTGATGGTGCTGAGGATGAGCTTTGCTTTTGTAAATAGCTCATTTCAATTCCAAAATCACAAATAATAGCATCGTAGATTCATGTGCACTGAAGTCTAGCAAACAACATTGATCAAATTAGATGCCTTTTTTTTTTGATTGATTGGCTATTTGCTTTGTTGGACAGGATCTCACCTTGTAGTCTAGGCTTGCCTTGAACTTGGTGATCCTTTTGTCTCAGCCTCCTGAGTGCTGGAAGCAGAGGTATGTACTACTGTGTCACCTCTTAAATAACCTTTGTCTATTCTGTTTTTTTCTTAAACACTATCATAAACCTTTATCTACTAGTGCACAGAGTATGACACAGGCTTAATAGTTGGTGCTCTTCTACAATAAGCTTTTTATCTGGATATATATCCATGCAATAATAATGATGGTGGTGGTTATAACAAATGATAATAATAGTTCCTCATTTTCTTCTTTCTTACTTTGAGATTAGCTTTCCTTCTGTAGCTTGTACTGGCTTCAAACTTGTTATATAATCAAAAATGGCCTTTTATTACTATTCCTCCTGTCTCTACTTCCTGAGTGCTGAGATTCTAGCTATACCCCTATATCCATCAGACATTATACTAGAAATTTAAAACAAATTGCACTAATAACATTTGGCTAAAATGATATTTTCAATGAGCAAGGAACAGAGTCTTTTAAGTCTTTAAATGACTATCATGAGACATAAATGCCAAGTTCCAAGTAGTTTACATTCTGAAAAGTTTTATGTGTCCTCCTCTCAGGCCTCACTTCTGCTACTCACATGTCCATGTTCTTAGGTAAAGAAAACCGAACTTGAAATGCTGAAAGCAAAATAGGTAAACTGAGTCGATAAATGTCTTTATTACGCACTTCTTGCACGTCTGTCTTCCTACTGGACAGAACTGTGGCGTACTGTCCCTGTTGTCACTCTACTGGGCCATAGCACACTTCAACTTGTGGCCACTCCTTGTCCTAGGATCATTGAGATGGCTTTGTGGCTAAAGAGCTGATGGTACAAACATGGTAACCTGAGCTGAATCTCTGGAACAACAAGTAAAGATGGAAGAACTGACTCCGCAAATCTTGTTCTTATACTGTGATGTGAATACATTCAAAACACAAGAAGTTTTCTAGAACAATTGTTGGGGACCAGCCTCCACAAAAACACCTCTTAGCAGGGAAGGGATGTGGGGATTTAGAAATATTAGTAACGAATACAAAGCCACCTGTGAAAATAACAAAACAGAAAAACATAGAAAAGTATCTGGAGGGAGTTTTAGTGAATACTGAAATAGCCCACGTCTAATTTCCAATCGCTTAAAATATCCCTGACCCCAAACATCAGAAATACGACAAAGAACTGCATTAACATGATACAAGGAAATGAACAGACCAGTTGAAGGTTGCAGGCTACATCCATAGTTAAACATGTTGTTTTGTTGCTAGAACAAAACAAGTCACACACCCTAGACGAAAATATTCTGTAGGCACACCACTCCCTGAGTAGAATCCAATATTATTTCCTTAAGGGAACTGGAACTTAGTTGGATCCTTAGACTTTTGTTTAAAATAGAAATATATGTATTTCTCTATTCTTGAAATACAAGGGCTAGATATTAGCCACACCATTTGATAATAACCTTGAGATTGAACTCAACTCAATAACCTTGAGATTGAGCTAAACTCTCTGATCCAAATCTAGGTGGGACGTTTGTTTGAGGTAGAATCACAATCACCTTGAAGGAATAGGGGTAAGTTCCAACTTTCTGACCTTTGGTCAAAGTGGAAATAGGCTCACATTTTTGGGGCCTCCACAAGCAACTGCAATCCCCAGGACATATACTGGGAAAGGATTTCATGCCTTCTATGTGGGTCGCTTCTTGAGTCTAAGATATGATGGGCCTTACCAGGTCTGCCTCTCACCTTCTGCAGTATTTAATTTTTTTCATAGTGATAAGGACCCCAACAATGACTGGGTCAATGACTCTGCAGGTGATGAATATTTTCTTATATGAAAACTGAGTGGTATTTGGAAACTGTGTAGGCTCTTGAGGCTGTGATTCTGATCTTAGGGCAGTACTTTACTTCTGTCTGTAGATATATCACACTTCACTTTCTGCTATGCAGGAGCCAGCGCACGCTCGTGTGCAGGCTAATTCACATGTCACTTCAATCTGTTGTTTAAATTGTAGTTTTTAGTGAGTTAGCATAATTGGCTTGTGGTTTCTGCACATCAGTATCAACTACATACAAAAAAGGGTGTTCGTGTAGACTAAATCTCAGGAAATACATTCCCAACTTACAGTCCTCTTAGAAAACGTAAAAAACCACTCAGTTACATCGAACATGGAGGGACATGAGACAGACAGAGTAAAATGGGGAGTTCTAATGATTGTGAGAAATATCTTTGCGAATGCTTTTGATATTAGTACATAGTAAGGGTCCAAGCAAGGGTCATGTTAAGAGCTCATATACTTGAGGCATTTGGAAGCTTGCTTAATTTTTTTTTTTTGACATGCCTGGTGTCCGAGCAGAAGATCGTATGTTGAACTGACTGGCAACTAGACTGTCATAAAGTTAGATCTTTGCTATCAAGGTTAGTCTATCTGGGCATGGTGGCTCACACATTTAACTACAGCACTCAGAGGCAAACACAGGCAGAGTTCTGTGAGCCTACACAGTAAGTTCCAGGCCAGCAGGGACTGCTGCTTTTTATGTATCATGTTTTTACAGTGAGTCTAGTAACGCTGTTTCTCATGCTCTAGTGAAGAAACAGAAGGCGGCAGACATCTCCTATAGCATTAAGCCTTGCTGCCCTGCAGCGTGTCACCCTTAGAGAGCAAACAGCTTTTAATCAAAGCGGGAACTTGGTTGGGTCATGAGGAAATAACACTCTAGTGAAGTTATCTATATCTTGGACCTTGTCCAACCTGAGGAGGCCTCTCCTGCTACATCCCTCCTCTGACTGCAGAGTTCTGCCCCCTATGCTGGCCCCATCTGTCTCAACCGTCATTCCCAGCCCAACTGAGAAGAAGAGGACTCATTGTAGTGGAGAGATGTGCTTGAGGGAAGCCACGAGGACTCCTTTCCCAAAACTCCAGACAAACCCCATAGCATGCACAGCCCTCCCCAGCTGCATACCAGTCTGTTCCTTACCTATGTGATTCCAGAAAATGACGACACCAATGAAGACACCGATAAGAATAAGGATTACGATTGTGAAGACTACAGTGATGATCGCATTCATATTCCAAGATTTTGGTGACATCTGTACGGCATCTAAAGTCTTTACCGTTTGTCCTGAAAGTATTTTGGATGAACATAAAAATAAGCCTTTATTAGCATCTACTACCCTCCAGAAGCCCATGGGGTTCATATGTGACAATTATTTTACATGAAATGGAGTTGTATATACCTTACCCACAAGGAGCTTATTTTGCTGTAAAGGGAGGCAAATGACCATCCATTATCTTAAATGTGACATATTTACTAGGTTTAGAACATTGGCACAGTTAGTGGCATTTAATTGTTTCTGGTGAGTGTTATACAGCCTCCTTAAGATGTGTCACCAGAGCTGGCCAAAAGGCTGCTATAGAAGAAAGCCATGAAATATTACAAATTGCATATAGACTTGGGGAGTTAATAGGAGACCATTTGGTTTCTGGTTCATTGGTTAATGAAGAACCAGAAATATAAAGAGGTGAGATAAGGAAAGAGAATGGTGAGAAATCCATATGCTCCTTAGAGGCTCTTCCGACAGGAAGAGCATAAAGAAATCAACTAGTTTATCAAATTTACCATTATCCATACATGCTAACATTCAGAGAAACCATTAAACCTTTAAAGACAGTTTCCACACCTTCCCCCCAGCCTGCTGAGGCTACCCTTGAGGTAATCCAGTTAACTACGTACTTGAAATTTCTGTCCAGTGCTTTAAGAATTCATTGAGCCAGTGACTACAGTCTCCCATGGAAAACTTCTTGAGATCTTTCTCTAGTTCCTTGTCATTTTCCAATATGGTTTTAACACCTCTTGCTTCAGGATGAAGCTCTGTCCAAGTCATGCTGTTTGGATCAAATAAGACTAAATTTTGTTTATTAAGGTTGAACAGCAAGGAGGCACCAGTGTTCTGTTCAAGTTCACGTTGACAGCACATGTTGACTTGCAACTCAGGATGATCTGAAAACACACACGGTTAGTATCTTGCACTCTTGATAGAGCCATCACCTCCCTAAATGCTAACCCTTCTTTTGTAGGCCTAGGGACTGGGACAGTTTCTTGTCCTGTGTGCCCTCCACTACTCACAGCTGCAGGTGCTTCCATGCTGGGCTGACACTTAGCTCTTACACGATAGACCTCAAGTGCCCTTCCCACCTGTGCTCTTCCCTTCGTCACTCAAGCTGACTATCTTGACCTCCGCGCCCCGTTCCATACTTACCCTTGGTATTATTTGTCTTTGGTCTGATGTGTAATAGCCTCTTCCTGAACTCTTGCCCCATTTCTTTAACCGTTTGAGTCACATCTTCCCATACTTTGGTGGAATTTCCTTCTCCAATGCTACCCACAAGTTCAGCTTTGTTGGCATTATTGTACTCAAATAAAAGCTTTTCATCCAATGAGCAGTATACCTTAAGCCATGACTTTCCGAGTTCAGAGGAAGCCTCAACAGTGAATTTGAAGCAAAGACTGCGCTTATCTGTGAGAAAAACACATAGATGAGGCCCAAACAAGAAGGAGCAAAGAATCATTATCTGTGATCTCTAGACTCCTTCAGGAAGGTCTGATTAGGGTCGGGGGGGGGGCGGGGGGAGAAGCCTCCATCTTAGATGTCCATCAATTTTAACATCTTTAGTCTTGGAATCTTGGAGGCTCATAGACATCAGGGAGCCTGTAGGAGTCTGACCTAGTTCTTCTGCATGTATGTTATGGCTGCATAGCTTGGTGTTCTTGTGATATTCCTAACAGTAGGAGTGGGGATGTATCTGACACTTTTCTCTGCTTGTGGCACCTTTTTTCTCCTGCTGGGTTGCTTTGTCCAGCCTTGATGTCATGATATGTACCTGGGCTTAATGTGCTTGTTATGCCATGTTGGACTGATGACCCTGGAAAGCCTTCTCTAAGGAGAGTCAGAGGGAGTGTGAATCTGGGGGAGAGGGAATATGAGGAGGAGAAACTGCAGGAGGGGAGGGAGAAAAACTACTTTTGGGATATATGAGAGAAAAATAATAATAATAAAGCTGAAGGAAGGCAGGCAGGGAGGAAGCTACTTTTATCCTCTTCCTACAAAAGCTGATAGGTAAAAAGAATAGGCAGGGTGATCAGACTGAGGCTGCTAGGGGAAAGAAGGGTGGAGTCAGGGAGATGCGAGCTAGCCTCTTGGGGAACAAGTCTACTAGAGGACAGATAAAGCCACAAGCCATGTGGCAAAATGTAGATTAATAGAAATGGGTTAATTTAAATGTAAGAGCTAGCTAGTAATAAGACTGAGCTATCAGCCAAGCATTTATAAATAATACTAAGTCTCTGTGTGGTAATTTGGAATCAGCTACTGGAACAGGGAGCAGGTGCTCAAGACAGAAAAACCCCATCCTTTTTCACCAAACATGGGAAGATTACCCAGGGAGAAGGGCTCCAGCCTTTGCAGAAGTTCATTCATGGCAAGTGCTTACTACTAGGAGCTGGTGTTACTGAGAAGGGATGCTAGTAAACACAGAGCAGAAAAATCTTAGCACAGTAGACCTAGCTGGGGTGAGCAGCAGCGAACAGCATGGAGGGACCATGGTCCACATGATTAGTGTGGTGACACCAAGTAGGGTGGTCATGACTGACAGAACAAAGAAATCCTAGAGGAAAACAGATAGACATCCAGTCAGATTGCACGAAGATACATGATCAGCCAGGAAACCGGATGCTGCCATGCATGAGAAAGCTGGGATCCCCGGTTAGTGAGTTTTACTGGGTGTGGTGGAACATTCTTTACATGCTGAACCTGCTCAGACTGGCAGGCAGGTTCACTCACTGATTTCCAGGTCATCCTTGCTTAGGATTAGAAAGTGGAATCGGCTTCTGAACAAACAGACAAACAAAGGGGCAGTGTGTGGGTATGGACGGTGAGACCTTAGGTGTCCTGATCTGTTGTTAATGTTCAAGGGCAAAGAGCCGAGGGAGTGCCTGAGGGATTGTAAGGAATGGAGAAGATAGTTCATAGAGTACCCAGCGCCTGGGTGCAGGAGTCTGTCCTTGCTAACTTCCTAGAGCCATCACAAGGTGTGCCTGTCACAGCCAGTCACAGCTCTCTGTTTAGAGATTTCTATCTGCCTTCTTGACGTCCCATTTCCTCTAGCCCCTGTGTCCCACTCTGCAGTAATTGATTTCTGTTACTCGTGGGCTCCTCCACATATCTTAGACTGACTGAAGAGGGCCAGGAGGAGTTCCACAGGGAAGACTGCATTCCTTGCCGCCACCCTAACTCCCAGTGCCCCGTCCCCCAGTCAAATACCAGGAACTCACCCGAGGGGAGAGGTGTGCCTTGACAGCTCAGCCAGAAGAGGAGACACAAAATCAGAGCATAATGACTGAGATTGTTTACTGCAGTCCAGGCCATGGATCTTTATTCCATTCCAGGCTGACAGCAGTCATGGTTTGAGCTTTGGAGAGAGAGGAGAGGAAGCGTAAGTAATTTGTACAGATGCCTGCAGATTTCTCCACAAACCAGGGCAGTGAGTTCCTCTTTGTCATGCCTGCTATATCAGTGCCTAGCCCCACCTTTTCCTCGAACTCCTGTGGGGGGGGGGGGCACTCCAGGGTCCCTGGGGCTCTGCTTGCTTCTTTGTGGAACTTAGTGATTCTTTTCTATCCAATACCATCAGTGAACAGAGGTCTTGACTATGAGCTGACTGGCACAGGTCTCCTGTGTCCCCAGGTCCTCCCAGGCCCCGAGAAGTCCCTTCCCAGAACTTACCGGCACCTGCTCCAAAATCGTCACCAGCGAAAGTGGAAGACTAAAAGCTAGTGCTGTGGCTGTGGTCATTTATAGCCTGAGAATCAGGTGAGTACACGTAGGTGATGACTGGACAGAATGGCTCCCCGCCCAGTCTGAGGAGTGCAGAGATTTTGTTTCCTCCTTGGTTACCAAGACAACTTCCGAAGCTCCTCCTCCAACCTGTACATTCTTTACCCCCAGAAGAAAGACAAGTCCTACTTGTTTATTTCTATTTTTAAAAGTGCCTAGGTCTCCTCCCAGATTCTGGCCTCTCTGAAATCGACACGGGTACAGTTACCCTACTGTAAGCACCGCTCTGCACTTCCGGTAACTCCGAAGTCTAAGACTTCCAGGAAGTGTGTGTGGAGTGCAGAGGTTTCCTTGCACACCATTCTTCAGGTCCCAGGGATCCGCCTATCTCCTTCTCCAGCACTCACTTCCAAGTGCACAGCACCTACCTGGTGACTTATAATTTAATTTAATTTTTGGAAGGTGAGTTCTAGAACCAAGCTCAGGTCCTTATGCTTACAAGGCAAACACTTCAATAACTAAGCTGTCGGCACCCCAGCCTAGAGTGTCTTCTTAAGATTTCCACTTCAGTGAATTTTTACAACCATAGTGTCCCTCCAGCTATTCATGCATCCACCCAGCTAACAGTTCAATGCCGGTTAAACAACCTCAAGTGAGTGTTTGAGGCCAGTGTGGTGTTGAATGGGAGTGAAACAATCACACCTACAGACAGAGTCTGAGAAGTCTCAGGTTTCGTGGGCGGCCTTGTTGTATGGTTTTTCTCATCACCATTCAAGAATTTGCAATCCTACCAAGTCACCATGGACAGGAGAGTGTTGCAGCTCTAATTAGTATAAATTTGTGTCTGCGATGTCACAGGAAGGTGAGAATAATTAGTTAGTCAGTCACTTGCATAAATGAAACCCAGAAGGTCACTTACATAATCTCCTTAACCCCATTCGTTCCAATGAGAAAGTTTCACCTTTTGATATGTGAGGATTGAGCAGGGAAAGTTTTTAAAATGCTACATGCATTTTAACTGTTTAAATTTCTGAAAGCCATGCCTGTAGCCCACACTCATTAAAATCATCTCTGGGGCTGAGTCCGTGACCATCTGGAGGCTGGTGTGAGTCTGGCAGCCAGAGGAAAGACAGGAGTGCCCAGGTCCACCCTGCTCTCAGGCTCTCATTCCAGGTCTTATCTAATGCATCCCTGTTCTTGTTCTCCCAGGGACCTCCCTGTTTCGCCAGCCTCAGGCTCAGACTGCCAAGTCCTCCCTGGGTGGAAATACTGCTTCCTACTGTTGCCACCACCCTCAGGAGGCCCCCAGAGAGCTCTGCTGAGGTGAAGCCAGAGTCTTGACTTCACCACAGAAAAGAATTGCAGGATGAGTGAGTTTGGAGCAGAACCAGAGTTAATTAAAAAAGATTCAGAACACGACAGTCAGAAGAAAGAGGCTCCTGGGAGCAAAGTCATATCTGAGGATATGGGTGAGGTCTTCTGAAAAACGAAGCCACTAGTGGGTGCAAGTGTTGCCAAATATACACTTCACAGGTGACTAAGGGACTTTTCTTTTCAAATGTGTTCAATATATGTTTTGTGGGTTCACTGATGGAAACCAAGCTGGTGAGTAAAAGCTTAGATCAAGGAAGGGCAGGGCAAGAGCTTTTCTAAAAATGTAAACTGAGTAGAAATACTGCGAAATGAATCAGGCCGCACTGGAAGGTCCCTTGAGCTTGGGCTCTCAGCTTGGCTCACTGCCAGCTTAACATTTTAATTTGAAAGCATTTCTGTATGAAGGAACTATTGTCCCTATGTCAGCAACCTTCACAGGAAGTTGTGATTGTGCTGGGTTCCCAACTCAACTGGAGAGAAGCCCCAAACACATTCATCCTCCTTCCAGAGACTTTTAGGGTTTTTTTTCTCTTTCTCTCTATGCTGTGTCCTCCAGAGCTGTCCCCGCTCAGGGATGAACCCAAGGCCATGCCACAGTCTTATGGATAGGAATGTCTTCCCCACAGACAGACTACCAAGCTGCTTTAGTCCTGATCACCTCACACTTGAGATGTGGGGCCATGAGTTTCCATCCCAGCCTCCAAATTGTGCTCCTGAATCAAGATCCATGCAGAACTCTCTGGGCTTGGATCTAAGGCATTCAGAGTGGAGGCTACTCTGGGTCCCTGAGTAGAGCAGGGCCCAGGGCTCACAGTTCAGGCCTCCTCACTCTCCCAGAGCCTGAGGATTGGGGATTTGAAGTTGGTGGCTGGTGATCCTGCTTTGTAGCGACTGTGGGGAGAGGATGTGGGCACTCTGAGAGGTTAGGGAGGGTGGGGAGTCTAGTCTGCTTTTTTCAACTAATGCGGAAATATGGTTCAGTGGATAGGCACACAGTAGGTCTCGGGGTCCTTTTTAGTCCTCATCTCAGGCTAAGATCTCCCCAAAATCCAGAGGCCACTAAGCCCTCTACTCCTTATATTTCTTCTGTTTCCAGTGTAGTGGCTGACACAGGACACATGTGTCAACCTTTGGAGGATGACAGTGGTGACCACAGTTGTGAACTGATTGGTTCTGTATCTTAGCTATCGTGAATACTACAGCAGTAAACATGGTGTGCATACATCTGTGCAGGACTTAGAGAATGTGTATATATGCTCAGGAGTGGTGTATCTGGGCCATAGTTTTAGTTGCTTGAGAACCACACATAC